TATAATTATGTTTCGTGTAGTGATTTTTGAAACTATAGATATTTGTAACTCTAAGATCCGTCAATAACTACTGGTGTTAAGAAAACTATAATTATTTGCGAACTTGTAGAGGCTACTAGGGCTGCGGAGCACTAGATCATAGGTCTTTAAGATCGGTCGACAGTTTTAATTTTCTTTGTGATGAAGGAAAATAAAAATCATTATTAGTCTCGTCCAAGCCTGAGTGATGCAAAAGGGAGAGTCAGACTGCTCCCCGGTATACCGTTGCGCTTGACCCGCAATCCCGGCCAGGATCGACCGATACTGAACGTCGAGAAATGACAGAGTTATAAGTGTTTAAAAAAATAATTTAGAATCGTCCTTTTTTGTTTTCTCTTCGAGCAACAAGTGTGTTGTCAGCCTATTATAGGTTGCTAACAATTGGGGAATTGGAGGGTGAAATAGGGGGAAGGATTGGGAATCCGGTAATCTTACTCACACATCGATACACAACGTAAGTGTTGATTGTTGAAGTCAGGCTGTTCAAAGAGTCGATGGTGTCATGCTTGAGCCAGGCTATCCATGCCAAAGCATAGCTCTCCCACACTTATAACTATTATAGATACCTACTTATATTTATCTACTAGTATTGCCTACCCACTTACTACCCACCTCATCCATTCCTTATTCCTTAATAGGTAGGCAGACAATATACAGTGACTGACCCAACACTAAAACTTAATTCGCTATTTCGAGGTAATTCTAAAGTACGTGTAGGCGTGACATTTTTCGTACCGACATGTTCCTTAAATTTCCAAATATATAGTAATTGAATCCAGCGTATCAATATTTCAAGAAATAACAGATACAAAGGGAAGACCGATTGATTCAATTACTAGCACCGAGAGGCGTACGTATCAATATAAGCTGTAAATCAAATTGAAAAGGTTTTATCTCGGTTACAATTCATAAAGAAAACTTACAAATCCGAGTTCTCGATATCTCTTCCGAAAATATACTGAAGTCGTACATTTCTCTTTGTAGAGCTTCTTATTTTTTCGTATGTAGGTGGGGAGGTACTTACAGAGTTTTTTTTAATCCAAATAGAGAAAATCTTTACGAAGTGTATAAGCTTCAAAATATTGATCTAAAATCTTCACAGAATGAATGACAAGTAAGTAGACCTATAGAATGGCTGATACTATAACGATTAATGTTACAATTAGGCATTAAACTTGTATACTGATTGGTCGTCATTTGGTTATTTGGAAAAGTGCACTGACTACTAAATTCTTTTGAAGTCTATAAAACGGCGAATGTATTGTTTATAAAAATTGAACAATAGACGATCTGATCGGTTACCTTTTCGTTAGCTATCTGCGCTGCTTAAGGATACAGGCAACACCAGACGAAATGCAAGTGCTTTGAAAGAAAGAAAGAAAATTCATTTATTCGGCATCAGACATGAAAGCCAGAACAAAACAAAAATGTAACACAAAAAAACAATAAAAAGGTTAAAAGACAGAAAAACAAAAATACGCTAATTATACAGTCCTTCCCCTTCCCTAATCCCTCCCCAGTTCCTAAATCTCCAAATCCCTAATCCCTAAAAGGTTGGCAACGCACTCGTAACTCCTCCGTTGCGGGTGTCCATGGGCGGCGCTGATTGCTTACCATCAGGTAATCCGTCTGCTTGTTTGCCGACCTATTACATTAAAAAAAACAAAAACAGTATCATATACAGTTCTACACTTTGCCGGCCTTATGAGTGTTGGGAATTAAAGGATTGAAGAGATGATGTATGATATGAGAGAGATGCGGTAGGATTGGGCCTCAGCTAACTTCACTCAGACGATGAAACCCAACACTTTGGCTATACACGCTGGTGAAGCTGTGCTCACTTATAATTGGAAATCGATCTTAAAAGTAGTTTTGATCCGAAATAATGTACACAATTCAATGCCTAAAGCTAACTACAGTCATAAAACTTACTAATGGCGACTATAAACACAGCACCCAGTTTGTTTCGCCTGTTTATTCTCTCCACATAAATTGCACCGCTGCGTTCATGCCTTTGTGGCGTTTTTGAAAATAACAAGCAGTTTGTATGTGCTACACAGTATAAATTGTCACAGAAAGATATTTTTAAACGTTGTCGCACTTTACATATATATTTATTTCTCATTCTTACTGTTTTGACTACTTTTCCCAGATTTTAGATTTGATTTCTGTTAGTCTTATTTATCAAAATACGGTTACAAGTGAGACTTCTGATCAATGGGTGGCAGGCTTACCAAACAGTCCAGTATTGAGTTTCTGATAATTCTCCTCAGTAGTGGGACATAGCACAAACCTAGAATGATCAAAATCATAATCATCAAATGTCTTCTCTCGCAAATGGCAAGGGGAGAGGGAGTGTCAGACTGTTACTGACGAAAAATCTCATAATGGCGGGAAAAATCTCCCTGTTCCTTCTCCTGATCCAGCGGTACCTTATTGCCGCGCTTGCCCTGCAAATCTGGCTGAATATTAGCCCTGTACACAGGGGCACAGGGGCCCAACCCTGTGTTGTGGTCTATTGGTATGGTGATCGCGATGGGCCCAAATCATCACGCAACTACCAAAATTTATTCTGGTTACATCCAGACCATATCTTCTGTTATATTTCAACACTCCCATAATATAACATTCCCAGAATGAGTGAGGTTAGCTCGCAAAATATTTTAGTTTTTTTTAACTATATTTTATAGATTAGATTAATACATTGAAACCAGTCGAATGCTTAACATACAAAATTTCGTTGAAATCGCTGTAGGCGTTACCGAGACCGGATTTTCGTACCGGTCCGGTCCGGTTCGGACCGGATATATGTATATATACCTAAAACGGAAGTTACTCGTTTAAGTATAAAAAATAGTAAATTAATAATAATAGTAAATTACTTGGGTAAAAATTTAATATATTTAGAAGAAGAGTTTGTTTTTTTGGAAACTTTTTTGTTCTTCTTTAGTGTGGTTTTTAAGTGTTTTTAGTTCTTAAGTGTGGGAGAGCTATGCTTCGACACGAATGGATCGACTCGGCCGGACTGATACCACGGCCTCACAGAAAACCGGGGTAAAACAACCGCAGCATTGTGTTTCGCCGTGTGAGTAAAATTACCGGAGGCCCAATCCTCCTCCTACCCAATTCCTGTGCAATCCCTAAATTTCCAAATCCCTAATCCCCAAAAGGTCGGCAACGCACTCGTAACTCCTCTGTAGTTGAGTCTCCATGGGCGGCGCTGATTGGTTACCATCACGTAATCCGTCTGCTCGTTTGCCGATCTATCACATAAAAAAAATGTTACCTCTACATTAGAACCTTCTGTGTGTTATTGCGTTTACAAACACATAACAACAACAACCCCTTCTCTGCTAAAACCCCGTTTCCTTTGTCTGTGACACGCATTCGGGATCTTTTAGGTCATCAGAAAGCGGAAGATATCAGTGCACTCCACTTTACACGACTTTTTACACGACTGCCAAGAAAGGAGTGTTATGTTTTACGAATAATTGATTGCTTCACAAGCCACCCTTCTGTGAATTGCTTGGTCTGTGACAAATGAGAGATGAGCAGTCGCTAGCAATTTTTTTTAAATGGTGAAGGATCACTACATGGCAAGTGTGTCTATCATCGCTATACCTAATCTTGTTGTATTTTTAGTATTTCTTCATCTTCTACTTATTTATTTATTCATTCTTGATATAGTTAAGTGTGGGAGAGCCAAGCTTCAGCAGGAATGGGTCGGCTCGACCGGAGTGATACCACGGCCTCACAGAAAACCGGCGTGAAGCAACCACAGCGTTGTGTTTCGCCGTGTGAGTGAGGTTACCGGAGGCCCAATCCCTCCCCTTCCCCTATCCCTTCCCAATCCTTATATCCGCAACCCCCATCCCCAAAAGGCCGGCAACGCACTCGTAACTCCTTTGGTGTTGCGGGTGTCCATGGGCGGCGCCGATTGCTTAGCATCAGGTAATCCGTCTGCCCGTTTGCCGACTTATACCATAAAAAAAAATTAATAATGAATTCTATTTTGATGTAAATGTCCGCCGTAAACTGCCCTTCTTAAATTTTGTTTAACAGTTAAACTCCATCCAAAAGGTTTCTAGAAGAAATTGGTTTTTAGCGATAAAACCGCCAATTTTAGCGATAAAATCTTTTGTGTTTGTTGTTTTTTATATCATTGTAGTGTACAATATAAAGAATATTATATCTATCTATCTATAAATTCACATTAGGTATATCACTCTTATTCCCGGAATAATTTGTGGATCGCAGAGTAGTTCCGTGCGGGAATCTAACCCGCGAATGCGCCAACAACAATAACCTTCATATTTACGTAGGAAATTAAATAAAACAACATATTTTTACATATTATTAATATGTAGGTACTATGTAGTATTTATTTCATCACCAGATATTCATACAAATCAATCTCAGCCTTTTTTTAGTCTGTATCTCATATCTTAAAATCACTTTCATGCTTAACTAACTTGCTTAGACCTTAGACATTAAATTGTATCCTATGAAATATATCTTATAGAAATATTACATTTAAACAAATAATAACTTTGTGATGTGATACATTAGGTCGATTTTTTACCGCACGATGCATGGCGGTATAGTGCATAAAATACATTTTTTTTTAATCCAATTGTGACACAAGTGTGTAATGTTGGTGATCACCTCAGAGGAGCGTTGAGGCCAGACGAGGGTCTTAAGGAGCCGAGGGCCCGAGGACGGTAATCATCAATACACACGTGTATCATTCGACGTTTTTCAACACACTACTGTATAAAATACTTCAAAAGAGAAATGTTTCATAATGGCGGGAAAAAAATAATCAGTTGTCCCATGCGCGCGCATCGGCCATAGACTAAACAAATAGGTTTTTTGGGCGTTTTGCGGTTAGCATTTTAGCAAAATTGTTTGTGAAACTCAACCAAAAATATAAAAAAAAACTTTGTTATACTCACTCGTGAATAATAGTAATAAAAAAGTCACAGTTTGATTATAGGTGTCATTATGTGCCTAATTGCCGTGGGATTAGAGCCAGTTTATGAGGAAGTGTGTTGAAAAACTTTTACAGAGACTAGAAAGCATTGGTTTCTAATGCTTGAGGTTCGTACAATTTAAATTGTGATTCCCAACCAGCTCACCAAGGTATAAAATTGTGGCAAACTCTCATGTAATATACAGTAGGTCCATATTCCATACAGTAGGCCGTGGGCTGTTAATAATAATATAATGAATGATATGTGAGTATGTCCATTACCGCTGTACTCTCAATATATTAAGGTTACATTTCAATAACTTATGTAGAGAATTCGAATTAAAAGAGTGCAATAGCAGTTTCGCACGCAAAACATTTACACATGATGTAGGTACAGCGGTATCCGACTATCGCTCCAATTAATATTACTGTTGGCACACATATCTTATGGTAATATTGAAGACAACCAAGGCAGCTCACCGGTATTCTTAAAGTTTTGCCAATCATAAAGAAATCTCCCTACTACCAGTAGTATTAAAGCTAATAGAACTAAATTGACTATATTGATAGGACTTATTGGCATTACGTCATCTTCTCCGCAGATGTTCCCCAGTGGTATCATGCTGATCTGAAACAAAAAATAAACAAAATTAATTTATTTTATAAAAAAAAAATTACAATCGGCTTAAGCAAATTTTCATCGAAAAATGTACACAAAAAAAAGATTAAAATTTTTCGATTGCGAACTTGGATAGCCATCAACAACGATCATACTTTTTAAGGTTTTTTTTTTCTCTTTTATTGGAAACCCGATAGCTGCAAAACAAAAAAGATAATTGTTTTATAAACGGCGGAAGAAAAGTGAACTGTTTTGGCTAGGTCAACATGATTTAAAAATAGATAAACAAACTAATTTTCATTATTTTCGACTTCGTTTGAAAATTTCTAATCCAATCAGTGGGATTATTAATAATATAGGATCAAGGGATCCTTCTACGTAATATGATAAAGGCCAAAAACACGGCTGTATACCTATACCTATAAGAAAATGTATTAGTATATGCTTTTAGAAATAATTGACATGTTCTTGTATAGTGGAGTATGCCCTATTGGATTCATTAAATTATAGACTGTTTCTATTCATGCTGTATTTAGGGTCACTACAGTTAATGAGAAATAGGACAAATAATATGTTTCATATTAAAAAACATAGCCTTCGTCATCTATTGAAGAGTAAAACCGCATTGGTGGAGTAGTCAGTCAGTTGGTGGTCATGTGGTACGGTGGCAAACTAGCCAACGCATTACCTGGTAAGCAATCGTAAATCGCAAGGGTAACATCAAACGAATTACAAGTGCGTTGCTACATTTTTTGCGATAAGGGGTTATTGGATTTAGGGATTGGGGAAGGATTGGAGAGGATAAGTAATAAATATTATCGTTTGAAATTTTCATTGGCAATTGAGCTTTGCACCCATTTCGCTTAATTATGATATAAATAGAAATACCTAACTACCCACGTATATCTCTAATCAAAACTGTACCTTCATTTAATATTAATTGAATACAATTTGGTCAAACATCAAAGAATTTAACTGAGGAGCGACCCAAAGGAATTCCTGTCCGTTTTCATACAATTACGTCAAACTAATTTAGTTTTATCAATTTTGACTGTCATTTGTTATGCTGATAAAGTATCAGTTAAGGATTTTGAAATGTCAAGGTTCTTTATGAATTCTGTTTTGTATACGATACTTAAGTAATTATTTAAATGAATAAACAATCAACATATTGTTTATTATTACTCTTCTGGAGAGCAAATTAGGCAAGTATAGTTTTTTTTATGGTATAAGTCGGCAAACGAGCAGACGGATTACCTGATGGTAAGCAATCGGCGCCGCCCATGGACACCCGCAACACCAAAGGAATTTGCGTTGCCGACCTTTTGGGGATACGGGTTGCGAATATAAGGATCGGGAAGGGATAGGGGAAGGGAAGGGATTGGGCCTCTGGTAACCTCACTCACATGGCGAAACACAACTCTGTGGGTTATTTCACGCCGGTATTCTGTGAGGCCGCTGTATCACTCAGGTTGAGCCGACCCATTCGTGCCGAAGCTTGGCTCTCCCACACTTATTTTACATTTTAATTAATATTGTTTAAGCTGTGTGGTGGAAGAATAAGAGTATGCTCGCGGGTATGAGAATTTGCGCGGATCTGCGGTCACTGAGCAAGGATAGCTCACCACCCGATATTATCTCGTGTGTCGTGCGAATACAAACCACCTACGGCACCTACGGCACCAGAGGAGTCACAGGCCCGTTGCCGGCCTTTTAAGATGGAGTAAGCCCGTTTCTTGACAATTTCAAAACCGTATCGGTTCAAAATGCCGCCGCCGAAAGATCATTCCAAAGTTTGGCAAGGCGGCAAATTTCGCGTAAATCGTAGATGAAGATAAAAACGTTTTCGCGTGGGACGATGGCGAAAAGATGGAGCTGAGATCAAACCAAATGATTTCTAAGAACACTTCCCGTGATATATGCGATTAAAAACACAAAGAGATACTTGTATCCACGATAGTGATGATTATAATAGTGAAATATACGTGTTTTGCAGCAACCAAATGAAACAATTACCACAGCAAAGGTGTTTAAAACGAATTTGCAAATTTTGAAAGCCAATGCAAAAACCTCTTAGAACTAATTGACGCGTTCCAAATAATAAAAGATCACAAGACGTATTTTAATGAGGTCATTATTTTTACAATTTAACACGTACATACCTACTTATACCTATGTATTATGTAATGGAATGTGTATAGTAATGCATTATTTACTTAATATCTGCAGTATGAGAAGCGTTCTATGACGCAGACGTGACAATAACTTCCCTCTTAGCAATCGACATTAAAATTCGTTTATATTTCATTTTCAACATTTTTATTTTTGTACTTCTTGTTTTAATTTTTCACCTCTTTTGTCATTTTATTATATGAACCTTAAAAGGTTGTCTGTTTGAATGCGCTATTCTCTGGAACTACCGTTACTAATTTAATAAATTTAAATATAAGTATCAATCGATCAATAGAAGCAGAGAATGCACTTAAATAAAAAAAATCATATACATAGTCTGGCCATAAATACGGTTACAATTAAACATAAACAAAATATTACATTTAATTTGGAATCTGTCATTTTTATATAATTTTTCATTGTGTTTTCTTATTTTGGCGCCAGTAAATTGTTCAATATTTTGCGATATTAAAATGGAGTGGGGTGATAAAGAGAACCGAATCGCTGTGATTGCATTACACAAAGTGGGTATGGAGCCAAATGCAATTTTTAAAACTCTCCACACGCTTGGCATTAGTCAAATGTTTGTGTACCGGGCTATTAATAGGTAGAATGAGACCTCCTCTGTTTGTGACAGAAAAAGATCTGGCCGTCCACGTAGTGTTCGTACGAAAAAGGTGGTCAAAGCAGTAAGGGAAAGAATTCGAAGAAATCCTGTCCAGAAGCAAAAGATTTTATCTCGGGAGATGAAGATAGCACCTAGAACCATGTCGCGTATTTTAAAAGACGACTTAGGACTTGCAGCCTATAAGAGACGCACTGGACGTTTTTTAAATGATAATTTAAAAAAGAATAGGGTGATAAAATCTAAACAACTATTGAAGCGGTAGGCAAAGGGAGGTCACAGAAAAAATGTTTGTTTACGGATGAGAATATTTTTACAATTGAGCAACATTTTAACAAACAAAATGACCGTATTTATGCTCAAAGCTCTAAGGAAGCTTCTCAATTAATCGACAGAGTGCAACGTGGGCATTATCCAACTTCAGTGATGGTTTGGTGGCGTGTTAGCTATGAAGGAGGACAAAATACCATTCTTGAGAAGGTAGTTAAGCCCCTTAACAACACAGAATGACTCGGCGCCGGGTCATAAAGCTTGGTCCACGCAGTCTTGGTTGGAAACGAACGTTTCCGACTTCATCAGAGCTGAAGACTGGCCGTCGTCTAGTCCCGATCTTAATCCGCTGGATTATGATTTATGGTCAGTTTTAGAGAGTAGGGCTTGCTCTAAACGTCATGATAATTTGGACTCCCTAAAACAATCCATACGATTGGCAGTGAAGAATTTTCCCATGGAAAGAGTGCGTGCTTCTTTTGATAACTGGCCTCAACGTTTAAAGGACTGTATTGCAGCCAATGGAGACCGCTTCAAATAAGCTTTTTATGTTTTAAATTGTTTTATATTTATGTATTAAACTTACATACTGTAAAAGTAATAAATGTTATTTGCATTAGAATTTTTTTTTTTTTTTACAATATTTGTGGCTAGGCTTACCTAGCCTAGCCACATATTTTATAGTAATTTATTTTATAGTTAGTATGGTGTGTATATTATTTTTGGAACATGCCTTTTTGAAAAGGGTAATAGGTTTTACTTTTCCCAATACAATCAATAAGTCGAATAGCATCATTTTCAAAACCACCAATCGTAAATAAATTATGCACGCCATTTTTGTATTTGGCGCAGTGTGTAGTTCACTATTTAACTCAAAGATCTTTCTGTACCATTCTTCTTGCAAATAAATTAATTCTATTCTATTCTATTTTATTCTAAAGAAATATTTTTAATTTAGTTTGCATTCAATGAAAATCTATAATGTTTTTATTCAATGATTACACTGCCACAAAAAATTATAGCACTTCAGTGTATGTGTAGAGCATTTTTAGATTTATTTACTGTTTGCGATTCAGGTCCCTCGTAAAACATTGCAAAATCGAAACATAACCCGATAACGTCTTCTACATACGTCTCATATTACGTATTATACATAAAATAAAAAAAATACAAAAAAATAAGTTCGAAAATACTTATTTTTTAAACGTGGTCTCCTAATACCGAATTAGGTAAGGGTGTTGTTGACCCGTAAAATTTCCGCTGCTTACTTTCTTAATACGAATTAATACCGTCAAGCTCGCCCACACAAACTACAAATTAGAAACGTGCTTCTTCCTTGAAGTGAGAAAACATACAACATGTTATGAAGATGAAATGCCTGTTGTGCGTGAATATATTTCACGACGGCGATATTGCACATGTGTGCGTTGATATGGCATTTATATCGGGTGTAGTTTTCTCTGTTTTCTCTTATATACATATAAGCAAAAATATGTATGTCTTTGCGACACTACTATAAGGAACACTTATTAACTATAGGAATTCTTATTTTTATCCTTTATATGACTTGCTTGATGTCAAAACTTAGTTTTAATAAATGACAATATTCGTATGAAGCGCCATCTGCCTTTTTACAATGCGCTAAAATGCAATTTTTAAAAGCTTCTTAACTGGCTCTTCAGTCATTTTTGGCTATCACTTTACGTAGTAAGTAGGTATATATTATTGATGTATTTTTTTGTTAACATCTTTATTTAAAAAGTGTGGGTGTGCCATGCTTTGGCACGAATGGGTCGGCTCGACCGGAGTGATACCACGGCCTCACAGAAAACCGGCGTGAAACAACCACAGCGTTGTGTTTCGCCGTGTGAGTGAGGTTACCGGAGGCCCCCTAATCCCTTAATGTCCAAATCCCTTATCCCCAAAAAGTCAGCAACACACTCGTAAGTCAGGTAATCCGTCAGCTCGTTTGCCGAGCGATCACATAAAAAAAAAGTCAATAGAAAAGTTTTCTCTCAAATTCTGCTAACACACCATCAATGGTCTATCTGGTTGTGTGTGTGAATTACACTGAAAAAATAATTCTACGTGCATCGTTCGTATATCACATATTATTTATCAGCGTCAATCAAACAAAGCTTCAGTGGTTTTGGGGTTTTGTCAGGGACTTGACAGTTTCCTTTTTGGAACAAATTCATTAATGGAACAGATTACGCATAAAATTATCAGCCAGATAAAATTAATCGTATCTTATCGAAGCTTTGTAGCCAACTCATTAGGAAAATTGATAAAAACAAAACAGTGGCAGAACTTTAGAGGTCGAGTGATCAAACTGTTAATTAACAACCACAGCGATGTGTTTCGCCGTGTGATTGAAGTTACTGGAGGCCTAACCCTTCCCCTCTCTTAATCACTCCCCAATCACTAAATCTCCCAATCCCTAATCCTCAAAGGTCGGCAACGCACTCGTAGCTCCTTTGGTGTTAAGGGGCGTTTGCGACCTATCCTATAAAAAAGGAACATATACAATAGTACACACAATAGTATTAAACTTCAGTAGATAAAACATGCACCTTAAAATTAAAACTTTAACTAGAATATAGACGAGAATTTATGTAAACCATCGTTAACCGGATAAATACCCATACTCTTTCCCTTTGCCAAGTTGCATCAAAATCTGTTCAGAAGTTTAGTATGATAGTGTAATAAAAGTACAATATTTTTCTGTAATTTTAACGTAAGATAAGTTTTATTTACCTGTACAAGTGATGTCTTCTTGTCACTGGATTTGGAGCATCTTATGTCAGAAAGATCCCGGATGACTCGCTTGTATTTTAGAAGCAAGCTCTGGAAGCGAGGTATGTAGTGGCAGTCACACCGCCAAGGATTGTCCCCGAGAAACACGTGCATTATATTGTTGTTATATTGAAACGCTTTGTCGAAAGCGTAAACAGGAATCTGTTGAACAAAATATAATTAGAACGTGTTCTGGAATATTCCATCATATGTACATATGTAGGTATAACAAACTTGTATGTTTTCATGTAATCACTATTGAATTGACTAATTCGAAATTTAATTTTCGAATATTTTTTAAAATAAGAAGGTTATTAGAGTTTATATTTAGTAGGCTATATTATCTTTAATCTATTTTTATGGCTATTATACATAGTCTAATGGTTATTAGTGTTAAAAATTTTTTGACGATGGATAATCACGATTACTTAATGGAACGAGAGGGATTATCAGACGAAGCTACTTACGACCTTTTCGTTTTAATATTGTTTTTGATTGTTTAAATTAGTATACGAAAGTACCTATGTTTAAATTTCAAATAATTAGATAGATTATAAGTTCTTACTTTTGTATTTTATAAGACTGATGGCTACACTATCGATTTAGATTTTATCTGTTATGATAGTATAAATGAGAATAATGAGTTAAAGAAGTCTTTGAGTTGTTTTCAATTCGAATCTAAGCATTCATTTCAATTAATCCTGCAACTCCTCCTTTAGCAAGATTTCAAAATAGAATCATCGTTAATTGTATCCCTTTGAAGCTTGGTGTCTCTAGGTGTTTTTTAAAGGTATATTTTTATATTTAAAAATTCTTAGTAGTAACAATTACTAAGAAGAAATTTAAAATTGCGGCTTTTTTTGAGTCAAACTCGCCATTACCTCCCTTAACCACTGCATCTCCTGTAAAACAGGATCTACAAAATACACAACCATGTGTGGTTTGAGTTCTGGACTGTTTATTACTAATTATTACCAATATAAACAGCTTCTTCAAAATAAAATAAGAACAAAGTAAAGTTTAAATTTCTGAGATTAGGTAAAAACTTTAGAACGTTTTAATAGTTCTAAAGAAAAGTCTTACAGCTAGAAAAACACACTTACAAATTTTACATTGAAGTTAAATAAAGGCTTGAAAAGAATCTAAAATATATCATATACAGGGTGTATCCTGACACTAAAATAAGATAACGGACAGAAAGTTTACTAAAACATATTAGGTCTCTAGCATCTGTGTCCCCAGGCGATCAATCTGTTAAACAAATAACAAAGTTCTGTTATTCAACCTTACACCTTACACATTTAAAAAAAAGAATTGGGGTTTTTAGTCAGAAAGAGTCTGACACTCCCTTTTTACAGAGAAGTCATTTTGTGATTTGACCGCTCTAAAAGGGATTATAAATTACAAAACGAATACTTTCGTGAGTCATCTTTAAATTTATCGTTTCTCTCTCGCGCTCTAGAATATAAGCCCCAAGCGTGGCTTGTCAACGTCGAAACACGTCAAGTTCCTCGTCAAACAATTAAGTTTTTTTATCTTGATCTGCTTCGAAGACATTAAATAATACTTACGTAGTGATCAATGGCAAGTACTAATGTGACTTTTTTCGAGTGGTAAACATCGTAAGGAAACCTGGTCTTTTAATCCTATCCTAACTAATATTATAAATGCGAAAGTAACTCTGTCTGTCTGTCTGTCTGTTACGCTTTCCCGCTTAAACCTCGCATCCGATTTTAATGAAATTTGGTACAGACAATCTTTAGACCCTGAGACAGAACATAGGCTACTTTTTTTTTCGAAAAACAGGGATAAAGGGGTTGAAATAGGGGTTAAAAGTTTGTATGGGATTTCTTATTTTTTAAAGATAAAACCATAAAACTTAATATTTAAGCACTTGATAAGAAAATATGAAATATTTGTTCTAGCATTTTTGAAATTTCGACCAGCTAGGGGGTGAAATAAGGGTTGAAAGTTAGTATGCAATTTCGTCAAATATCACGTCATAAGAAACAAAAAATCGTTTGTACTACCATTTTGAAAATTTTATCAGTGTGATATGTAGTGAAATAGGGGATGAATTGAAGATAAGCCCAGAACGGATTCGGAACGGGATCTACAAAGCCAACCTTTATGTAGGTATACGAAATCTTAACTATTGAACCTAGGAACATGTAATTTAGAAGGGTTTTGGGTGTATCAAGTTACAAAATAGTTCACTTTCGAAGTATAAATTCCTTTTAATGAACACTCTGCATCGCCGTCGCTGCCGTCGGCGTCGCGCACATTCGCCGAAGTACGGCGCGGCGCTGTCGTGTGGTGGGGAAGCGCACGAATCTAACTATGTCTACCCGAACGGACAGACACGTGAGGACAGAGGTCGTTGTCGGGTGCGATAAGAGAAATTTGCGCTTTAGAGAATTACATTTTTCGATCCAGTAAAATTATTTTATTGTTTCGTCTAACTTTTTAAGTGTTTTTTATTACCTAATTAGATCCTGTGAATAAATTTTGCACATACTTATATTTCTTTTAGTTCATAGTTACAACGCATCGATCACTAATAAAGAACTAGTGATCGATGTTACAACGTTACAAGTAGGTAAGATAGTTTCCGTTACTTTAAATAAATACGATTTGCTTTTATTTCCTTTTTTTATTCAATTAATCTAATAGCATCCTACTTTTGCAATGGTTGTAAATAAGTACTTATCCAAGTAGGTGCAGGTAGGGTGAACAAAGGTTTTTTAATATAATAAATCTTAATCTGTACATCTGTTTTGTTCGATTAATTTCATTTTTGTTGTTCTACGATGCCTCGCAAACGAAAGTCCAATTTAGCTAAAAGCTCTAGCAGAGCTCAGGTTGCTAAACTTGCCAGATCACTGGAATGAGACTTCTCGACAGACCCAAGCTCGCCAAGCCATTAATGCCGAGCGTCACGCGGCTCAAAGAGCTGCTGAGACCTCTCAACAGTCCCAACCTCGCCAAATCATTGATGCCGAGCGTCACGCGGATCAAAGAGCTGCTGAGACTTCTCAACACACCCAAGCTCGCCAAATCTTAGATGCTGAGCATCAAGCTTCGTACATAGCCGCAGAGACCTCCGAAGAAACACGTAGACTACGTTTAATTAATGCCGAGCGGCAAAGGAGACGTACGTTTACGATGAATACGTGGGAGGCATTTGCCGATGCTGCTTTTGATTATGATCCGTTACTTGATTACTTTAATCATCGATTAGTCCTCATAGGTAGAATGGCCAATAAATGCAGACACTGTGAGGCACTCAAGTGGAAGGAAGAGACCCTAGGTATGTGCTGTTCTGGAGGCAAAGTATCAGTACCAACGCTTGGTGACCCCGAGGAGCAACGACAGAAGAAAGGATAGCAATGAATCTTGGCGATTTTTTCTGTCATCATGCCTGGATTTTCGCCCATATTTACGGTACAGGGGCAAGTTTATTATAGGATTTTTGCTTTCCACAAACAATGATCAACCAAAATTTCTACAGATTTATTTTATGGGAGACGAAAACAGCGAGGTTGACCGTTAATGTCAAAATATTGAAAGAGATGAGAGGGAAATTGTTTTAAAAATTCAAAGAATGTTGCACGAACATAATAACCTCATTAACACCTTTAAAACAGCCTTAAAAAATGCCACGGGAAAATCACAAATTAGTAATACACGCAGATCGTACGCCAAGCGGGGAACATGAAAGACGTTATAATGCACCCTTATTAAACGAAGTGGTGTGTGGTGAACAGTTCGCATTGCGCGATATTGTTTTTCAAACCCATGATAACACATTGATCAGGGTGTCCGACACACACAAGTTTTATGACGCCCTACAGTACCCGCTTATGTTTAGCAATGAGCAAGAGGGGTACCGTTTTCAAATGTGGAATTTGTGATTTCCCACAAGAAGTGTGGAATTTGAAAATGGTACTCCTGGGCTGGCCCCTGTAAGAGTCTCTTAGACATAAGGGACCAGGGTTGACAAAAACTAATTTGACGCGGGCAAAGCCGCGGGCGGAAGCTAGTTTCTAATTATAAGTTTGAAATCGCCAACCTGCATTGAGCAAGCGTGGTTCTCCGTATGCAAAGAGGCCTTTGCTCAGCTGTGGCACTTATAGGCTGATGATAATGAAGGATGATGTATCGTATGTGAGGTTAATAGGTCCAGTAACAAGCCCTCTTAAATAGTGCGTTAAGTTAAATCTTGAGGAGCTCTTTTCTTTAATCTCCACATACTTGAAATTATATCATCCATAAGGTGGCGAGCCAATGTGTTAGGGTGCAGTTGCAGTCTGTTTTTATATGTTATGACACTAATAATGTAAGTTAGCCGTTAAACATAATATTGAACGGATAGTTTGATCTTAAGTTCTTTCTTCTTTCTTTCTTTTATCTAGAAAAAACATCTTTACGAAATAAAATCTAGTTACCAAATATTAATTTGCCTCAATGTGTCCATCTCCGCTCATTTAATAGAACAAAATATACCTACTTACTATGAAAATATCGAGAAAAAAAATCACGAAATAAAAAAGTTATCAAGCCGATTCAATTTCCCACTCATTTCGAAGAAAGTTGGCATATTATATTTGAAGAGAGTATTGAGAGACTGTGAAGTTTGACAACCGGTTTTTTAAATCAAACTTTAATTCTATATACCTACCTAAAGTTCGATATTATTTAATGTTTGGTTTTAAGACATAGCTACAAGTAACAAAATTTAGACTTCAACATCCCGCGTCACCGATGAAATGTAGAGCCCGTGGGTTCAAATCAAAACGGCTGGCCTGATTTGGTTGAAATTTGATATTTAGATAGCTGATAATCTAGAGTGATTAACATTTAGGTTATTTTTATTAACATACCACGCGGGCTATATAGTCTGTAAGATAGAGGTATATCTGGGTATATCTAATAAAAGTAAAATAAAAAATATTCGATCTCAAGTTTGATTCGAAAGACAGGCATAATGGACAATAATAATATATACGTATTATATACCCATCTATCGTAAATATACATGTATATCATAGGGACATAGCTTCAGGGAAGATGTTGTTGCGTCCTCCGTCATGATATCAGTGCTATTTGAGAAGGAAATGTCACGAACTCGCCTTTTATATGTATAGGCCCGACCATTCCTTTGATTGCAAAATGAAGACGAGGACGACTACGACGGCTTCTTACAATTTTTCTAAAATTTGATATGTTTTTTTACGATAGAAATCTGTTGATTGACATCTATTGAAGTCACAGGATGTTTTGCTTGACATTGGTCGCAACAAATTTAGTATTTTTGTTAAGATCACTGCTAAATTAAATTGTATTCCAAGATGTGGTCAGTAAAATCTCCGTTATTTTTGTATGGTTATTAGTTGGAGATACTAAATTTACCCAACTGTAACGATCTACTAATTTCAAGTCACAACGGGGCTCTTATTCGTGAGCAGCGTGCGCGTCGCGGCGACGTTGCGCTTCAACCTTTTTGGAATAACAAAAATGAATGTAGGTACTTGTAATTCTCACGTAACTATTATATTAATAAGCAAGTTAAGTGGCCAGTCATCCGTCACTGGAGATGTTTGAATCTCGCTCTTATCTGTTCTGCTTACGCCTTAAGGCAACAAACACCTCCTTTTTAACCACTCACATCACATAAAAAAAGGTGTATTGACAATCATTCAAGTTCACATACACATGACACCCAGACCCGAAATAACAATTAGTGGATCACACAAAGTGTTCTTCCGTGCGGGATCGAATCCGCGACATTTGTCATTTGGCTATTAAGTCAATTTTGTGGACAGTGAAGGTGTTAATGTAATAGGTCGGCAATGCATACAATCAGCGCCGCCCATGGACACCCACAACGGAGGAGTTACGATTGCGTTGCCGACCTTTTAGGGTTTAGGGATTGAGGGAGGGGAAGGATTGGACCTCCGTTAACCTCACCCACACGGCGAAACACAACGCTGTGGTTGCTTCACGCCGGTTTTCTGTGAGGCCGTGGTATCACTCCGGTTGATTTGACCCATTTGTGCTAAAGCATGGCTCTCCCACAGTTAAAGTATAACAATAAATTTAACCTTTGCTATACGTAGCTGCTCAACGTCTCAGTGACGCGCACACCGCTCATGAATAAGAATTCTGTTGTGACTTAAACCAAGTAGAGCTTTTCTCAATAAAACTCGTTATTTCGTGATCTGTAAGACGTGTTTGGCACACTCGGATACTAACAGCTTAATAATTATAACAAATAAAATAAACTTATTTTCACAAATAATAGAATACAATGTCGAATATTTTCTACAAAGAGATTATACACTTACATAATCTACTTACTTCAAGTAATAATTGTTATAATTTTAATTAAGATTTCTATCCAGAACATTTCATAATAAATTACAAACTTTGATTTACAGTCTAAGCCTAAAGTGACAAAGCAATTTAGTATAGAAATCACAAAATTTTACAACAAAAAAGTAGCTATGTTTTCGTACCTGTTTTAACAAATTTCCACGAAGACTTAGCACTCGAAAATTGGAGAACCACTCAGTACCTTCCAGCTCCTTGACGGCTGATATGCTGTTGTTATCCAGGTACAAGTCAGCTAAGGTCTTGTACTGAGGATTGTGAACGATGGCTCGAATTGTGCTCAACTGCAAAGAAAAATAACTATGAATAAAAGTATCTAGAAAGTTTTTCATAGATACACACAATGAATGGTGCCAACATAACTATGTGTGAGTTGAAAAACGCAATGAATAGCTGATTAAAAGTTTTGAATGTATTGCAATAAGCATACTATGGAAATGTACAGTTGGATGTGTAGGTCACCTTATTATTCACATATGCTTACAAAGCTAAAATTAATTTCCTGAATCTTGTTTACTTGTAACGCTTATGTTACTCTGTTGTATGACACTTAAAAAAAAATGATTCGATAAAATAAGTATAAAATTATGCATTTGATCACACATTATTAAAATAGTACTAAGTTTGTAAAAACATTAAAAGTATTGAGTTTATACTAAGTTTTTTCAAGGAAATAGTGTTACTGTGCACGTAGTTTTTAGTTCAGGTTTCTAATTAGTGTAGTGACGATATTGGCAAGTCGCAACGAATGTAAAGAAGAAGATTTAGTTCAGTGGGAAAACAGTCAGACCTATATCCAGCTATACGAGTAGCATATTGTTAATAATTACAACATTCAGAAAGCCCCTTTTTGTGTTTGAAAAATGCTATTAATTTTCTGGCCCTCAAATATCTTTCTCGCTTACTGCATGCACTGCACCTTATAGCGCAGTTATGCGATCTTTGTTAATTGACAAAATTAGCTAAAATAGTAATATTCTTCTTCTCCTATTTTGTGTATGGAACCAAAGATATACTATGAGTTACTAAATAAATAGACAAAATGATATTATTTTATATCCGATTTATAAATCACGATTTTTATAGCATATGTATATAAAAAAAATACAACGTAAGTGTTGCTTCACGGTAGCTTTCAATACAAGCTAGCTCATTCGCGCGTAAATATTTTTCTGCGCTATCAAGCTGCAACGTTAGTTTCGGCATAGGCAGAATTTACCTACATGGTCTCTTTAACTTTTATCAACATTTTATTGTAATACCTGCATTCGACACACAAAAACCTCTTATTCTATTATCAAAAAGCTCTCAAATAGTTTTAAATAGCTGATAAGAACAATATAACTTGCAAGTACCTATGTATATTATTTCTTACACCAACGCCTTAAGTATCATTTTTCACTGACTTCATCATTCCTTTGCTGCCGTAACCATAACCAGTTCCTGTTCTAAGTAGTCGTAATTTGAAACTATTGTTTATATCATTTTTATCAGTTCTAGGAAGAAGTATGTTTATAATTATAGAGTTCAATGATTCGTCAGTAAAGTACAGTAAATAAAGTGTTTGAATATCAGCGGGCATGGTTACTGAAGTCCCTTGGCTTATTGTATATCGAGTATGATATCATGAGTGTCGAGTATACAGGGTGTGTCGTAACTAAATTATTAGACCTTACGTTTGGACTTTGCAGTATTGTTAGTGAGTTCTGATCCAACGGATGGATTTATTAATAAATAATAAGAAAAGTGTTCACAAAACCTGCGTCAGGCAAAGTGTTGTGTTTTACCGTGTGAGTGAGGTTACACAGAGGCCCAATCCCTACACCCACATTCCCTATCCCTAAATTCCTAAAAACCTACAAGACCATCGCACTTGTAGTAACTCTTTTGGTATTGCGAGTGTAGGGCGGCGCTGATAGCTTACCACCTGGTAATACATCTGTTCGTTTAACGGACCTATGACATGAAAACAATTGACTGCTGAAAGACAATCGGTGAATGCAAACTTGACTGCATTGGCAGTGAACTTTTCAAAGTAAGTTATAGTCTGTATTTATTATTTTTGGGCGTTATATTTTGTTTTACTATTGTAACGTTCAATCGATTAATCGACTTATAGTAGTTATGTCACGTCATCAGTTTTGACAGTTGAGCCTGTGTTGTCTATGAGCGAGCGAGCGAGCGGGCAAGCGGGCATTCGAATTTTGGCGCCAAGCGTGGCAGTGTGACACCCGTATTGTAAAAATACTAATTAATAAAAGTTTGTGTTCCACCAATTGTCGCCTTTTGTTGAAGATTTCCCTGAGCTGTGTTTCACTATAGATAGTTACATAACTTTGCTGCTGTTTATATATGTTTATTGTTGCTTTCTGGTTATTTTATTTCATTTTTTTATCGTAAGGAGTATATTTTTTAAACTTTGTGCTGCGTGTCTAGTGCTAAATAAATTATTTTTTTCTTTTTTTCATACTTTCTAATTATTAGTCTGTTTTGTTTGCAGTCGTTAAAAGTGCCTCTACTTAAAATAAATTATTAATTTTTACTTTCGACTTTTGACTGTATTAATGTTCTTTCGTAAAAAAACTTATGTTTTAAAAATTTACTACACAAACTAAACCATAGGTACTTCTCGACCATTATTACCTATTTATCGCATTTGTATAAACACAATAAAATTTTTCCTTTAAATCTTCATATAAAAATTAAACTATTTCTCACCTAGAAACAAAGAACTAAAAGAAAAAGTCCACACAAACCAAAGTTTCTTATCGGAAAATACTCGCACACATTTAAAGGCAATAAACCTCTTTTCGGAGAAATTCCTGGAGCCCAGCCTTTACCACCCACTAAAACGAATTACCATAGATATTCAGTAGAATTTGAAATTCATATTTAGGTGAATAAAGTAACAGTTCAGTTAGGTCCGGATTAAACCACATCTTGGATTTACTTTTAAGGCTAACATGTTAACATTCTTAAATTGTACGATTGACGCAGTGGCAGGGCTACTGCCGACTGCCGTGCTACGTGTCATGTGTCGATTCCCGCACGGAACAATTCTTTTTAAACTTAAACTTATGTGAAAAACTTAAACTGGTGTGATTCTTTCATCAAAAGATCACTACAGAATGAACTTGCACGGTTCTCTCACATTATGTTATTTTTACATTGTCTGGACTTGAAAAGAGACTGACCTCTGAGTTTGTTTCGGCATGTCTTCTCAGAGTAGTCAGATAGGAAATGCCGGCTTCATCTAGTTTTTCACATATAAACTGACGTGTAAAAGTGCCGTTTTATGGCCTCTTTGCAAAAATAAATTCATTGTTTCATTGTTTTTGGATACAAAAGTTGTGTTTTTTTTTTAATAATTTGGCAAACGCTCAGAGTGATTACCTGATGGTAAGCAATCAGCGCCGCCCATGGGCACCCGCAACGGAGGAGTTACGAGTGCGTTGCCGACCTTTTAGGGATTAGGGATTGGATAAGGATCGGGGGAGGGGAAGGATTGGGCCTCCGGTACCCTCACTCACACGGCGAAACGCAACACTGTGGTTGTTTCACGCCGGTTTTCTGTGACTTGAATTGTATCTGTAGAATCTGGGTGGGATGTGTAGGTAAAATTGTATGTTTGTAAAAGCACCTTTATTTTTATTTACACCTTCATTGTGCAGGCACAGGCACAGGAGATAATAAATAATGAACATGCCTCAGTCTTAGTCTCAGTCCCAGTCGCAGTCTCAGTCTTACTTTTAGTATCAGTCTCACTCTCAATCTCACACTCATGAAACCATCCTTTTTTTAAAAAGACATCTCTCAGGGTTCTCTTCGTATAAAAACTACGAGTCAGTCAACTTAAACGACTGGCATTGCAAATCATGAGGCGTTGCATTACATTAATAAAATCTGACAAACAGTAACTAGGATTACACAAATAGAAACAGTTTTATTGGTAACTTACAATTCAATTTTGCTTTCCTTTGTTGCGTGTTTGCAACAAACATACATAAACCTAACACGTACAAATATCGTTACCCAGCGTTTCCCAAAATAGTGAAAGTAAAAACCTTTGACTTATATTTGCTTTCGAATTCTTTAAGAAAATCTTTGTTGGTAAGTTAATATAGACATGTTTATTTATTGATTTGAAGCTGGCCACTATAGTTCAATTTTAATTTAAATAACAATAATAAAACACAGACATTGTAGTAATATTATTATGACTTTTACTGAAAATAACAATATTTTCACGTGAAATAATAAAAAAACATGACAAGGACAAAAGAATATGGTGTGCTTTATCTAACCTAAAACTTCTACTCAAGCTTTTTGACTGAAGCTTTTGGTATTATAATAACGTCAAGAGATGAAAATTAATATGAATTATGAATAAGAACATGTGTGCGTTTATGTTATTAAACAAATAAGGGATATATTAAAAAGATCTAAATCTCAACTAGTGTCTTATTTAGTATTGCTACATATCAAATAGGTACTAGTAAAATATCTCAATACCAAGTGATTTAAGCCATGGGCTGAATTTTAGTTAATTTAGAATTAGACGATTGATTGGGGCACAGGCAAGTTTTGTTATCTATGTAGGTAACAAAAAGGCAGGTTGACCAGAAAGGTGCTTTCTTTCTTTTGTGGAGGGAAAATCATCAATTGACTTCTTCCGCCCAGGAAGAGATGAGAGGAAGTGTCAGACTTTTATATATGGCCGGGTGCGGTTGCCACCGCCGATTACTTCCCTAAGGACACTGCGGTACTCAGCCCACACTTCCACGTATGTTCCGGGTAGTTCTCATAATGGCAATAGGTACACGGCTGTTTCCTCCCACCGGATTCGAAACTGAAACCTACCTATCGAAGCTGCCGAGCCCGGTTAGCACCTGCTTCACAATGGTGCGGACGCCATGACGTCTCTCAAGCCACTCCTCGAAAAGGGTTCTTACTGCTGCTATAACAGCGTGCCCTGCTAGAAAGGTGCTTAAGTAACGATAACAGACAGGAAGACGTTGTGTGGACAGACCTCCCGCTAGGTGGACCGACGACACCTTCAGAATCACGGCGAGCCTATGAATGCAAGTGGCGATATGTTGTGGTATGTGATAATTGATCATGATGAAGTTCTGATGAATAGGACCATGAAAGTAACAAAAAAACACAAATCAAGCCTTACAAAATTAAAGGTATTTATGGAATAGGTTGAGACAGTAGAAGCTACAGTCTACAACTTTTCATGTTGTGATGCCTGAGTAAACCACATTTGTCATACGTAGGAGTA